ACAATCACTTCTATCAAATAATCTCTCGAGTCCGACGAAAAAGCGGCCGAGCCTATTTTCAAATAGAAAATCGAGTTCTCACAGTAATAAAATACGTTTCACTGTATTAACACAATTTCTGCAACTTACGATCGAATATTTCGTTTATCTTGTAATTTTTTTATTATCGATACTCATCCAGACGGGCTTCCTATATACTTCGACGAATAACACCTTGACTTGTATTACCAGCGGTACTTTTGCTTCTGGATTAATATTTGCGAGTAGTACAATATTAGCTACTGGTTCTAAACATCATTTCAAAACTTCAATCACATTCATTAAAACCATTGCATTACTTCGTAATCTGGAGTCGCTTTTACTATATGATATTACGTAACACAATGATGCTATTTGAAACTAATTTTTTCTGACTTTTTCCATTCGATATCAAATTGACAATTATTTCTATGACTACATCGAAGAAAACTCGCAAGATTACAGATGAAAACATTTTAATTTCTTTTTTCTCCAGTCGTGTCAATTGTACATCTTTCACAATCGAAGACTATTTAAAAATTTATATCAACAATCGTGAATTTTAACGCAAATTCTCTTCGTCGAATCGTTTTTTTTTCGCTCCTCAAATGGAACTCGTTGTGCAAATGGTGCCTAAACATTGTTCTCAATATCGTTTCGTAGATTGCAAAACGAGCTCGTAAAGCTGAGTCGTCATACACATCGTATTCGCCCTTACTTGTTTTTTTTATTTCTTTTCGCTTTTCATAATGCTATTATACTGTCGTTTCTTCTCTTTCTTTTATTCTTTTTCTCCTCGTATCGGCATTCGTACAACTGTTTTTCTCTCTTTTTCTTTTTCTCTACTCATCATCTTATCCGTTTGTTTCAATTTCGCTGATGTTCGTTTTAATGTGCGTGGACCCACATTTCTGTTGGTGGGGAGGTATGTTACAGTCACATGTATCACTCCTTGACTCATCGGTATTTGTTTATTCATTTCGCATTCTTTGATGCTTTATTTCTCTCTATATATCTCTCCCTATACTTGATGAAGGGGAGACAATCTGGAAATAAACGAACATCGAGAAGATACAGGGAAACCTCTAATAATGACATACGATTAAGAAGAGCTATCATTAATTCATCATATAGACAAATTGTATCATAGCATATGAATGACAAATATTTCAAATTACATAGTTCATCCTGAAAAATAGAAAGATATTTTTTTTATAAATGCATCTTTATCGATTGAACTATAAAATAATTTTATAGATTTCATAGATCTTTTCAATTTTTTTGTTTAAATGTTTTTTTTTGTATCCTATTTCATGTATCTTCTATTGATCATGACTATAATAATAACTTGATGTTAGTTAACTTCTTCAAATAAAAACCAGGATATAAAAATGAATTTTCTCAACATCTTAATTCGTAGCGTGTAGTAATACAATTCTATTTCAATTTTTCAAACTTACAAATGAACTTCAACTTCTATACTACGAAGTTAAACTTGTTTCATCGAAAACTCTTAAAAAGACAAAAGTTTTCGAATGTATATCTGCCATCGTTTATCAAGGAGTACAAAGATTATTATTGATTCGAAGTACGTGAGTGTTTGGCCGATCCGAATTTCTAGTGACTATTCGACTGAATTGAAAGTCATGAAGGACTTTTGGTCAAAACCTAAACTCATCTGATTGATTTTTAAAAAAAAGTTATATTTCTATAACTCGTTGCGACACTTTGAAGCACTCGATACTACAGATTTTCAAAAAAAAAATGTAGTATTTAATAGGACGGCATAGTACTGAGCAGAATGTTATAACCATAATGTGACCTAAAATTATTTTACATTGATTTGAAAGGTTGTTTTGAAAAAGATATTAAAATCTTTATCTGACAAATCAAGAATCAGTAACTTCGAATATATGTCTCTTTTAATCAAATGATTATGCTTATTCGAATAGCACAAGTTTATGAAGACTGAAAGGAAATCTTAGTTACATGAAGTGATTATTTAAAAAATTTTTACATCTTTGATTTTTTTTCATGTAAATCAATAAGTCTCAAGTGATTAATGAAAAAATGAATAATTGTTCTTTGCCGTCATATTTCATAAGTGGATGTCCGTTTTAGCCATTGTTGACGTCAGTGTTAAAAGAAGAGAGAAGTGTAAGATAAATATTTTGAGAAATGGTTCTTGACATTAATCTAGTTTTCAGCAATCAAAAGAGAAAATATCCAGATATAATTTTCTTCGATATTATCTAAGGAGAAATCATTTTAAATTCACACTTGTTTTTTCTGCAAAATATTTAAAAAAATATATGAAAATGATCTCTTTTTTTAATATAAAAATTTGATATTCCAGAAACAAATGAGTTCAAAGTGATGTTGTCTTAGATAATATCCGAGAAAAAGATGTTTCGATGTCTCCTTTTACAATTGCTGAAAACTATTAGATCTATAGTTACTACCATTCTTAGAATACTAGTTTTATATTGATTTCTTTTTTTTTTTAGTTCTGACGTCTAAACTAATCGTCAATATGTGATAATTGATTATAAAATTATCTGCAACAACATAAGAACAATCTATATGTGTTCTTTTTTCCAACTTCCAATCTGATCAACGGACTAAAAAACATTGATAGTTACACAAATGATAAGCTTCCAATGCTGTAAGATGTCAGTGACACATAAATGATATAATCAATTTGAACGATAAATATAGTTAATTGTTTAAGACAGCCATGTAATAAAACAAACTGTAATCGATGGTAAATCATTGAGCGATAACGGCGGATGATAGCTAATGGACGATAGTACAATAGTCAAATACTTGAAGTTTTTGTAGAAAATCAAAATAATTCCATAAACATCCATTGTATAATATTTGCTTCCTCTTTCACTTTTGTTTTTATTATCGATAAGAGTAAGATCCATAATTTGTTTAGCAATATATTGAAAGAGAGTTATTGTCTAAACAAGAAAAAAATTTAATATTGCATAATCTTTTGTTTGTTATTATGTTTCCTATCTCAATCTTCGAACAGAAATCGATATATGTGAATTCATTACCTTTGAAACAATGTGACACGGTTCCTTTATTGAAATTCAAAATTTTAAGTTGAACAAGATTAGAATAGTCAGCAGCATGAAGAATACGTTCCATAAAAACCGAATCAATAATAAGACATTTTCATATTGTGATGAATTTGAAGTAATATTTCTATACAAAATCAATCGAATTTTCAATCAAATATTGAACACATATCATGAGTTGATGACATAGTTGGAAAGTCGTTACTTGAAAAAACAAAAACAATTGTGGAATTTCGTTCTCTATAAGACTAGATCACTGACAGACTACAGTGCAAATTTCATCGAGAATATTTTTGTTTCATTACAAGCTCAGTGAATTTCTTAATATCTACGTGACACTTTTCGTTCCTCAATTGAAATGTACAGCGCATTTCAGTATATTGGTTGCTTCGAAACTAAGAAAAGTTTTTTGTAAAAATGAAGTACAGTTTCGTAGAGCTAATCAATTAAGCCGATTCATTAAGATTTACTCGTTATTTCATCATATTATTTATTTATAATTTTATCTACCTCCAATCTCTTTCATTGAGATCATTACAAGTTTTTAAAAAAATTGTCAAGTGTGGATGTGAATCGTGCTTTCACTCACATCCACACGAGATCGGTAGAAAATATCGACTAATTCACCATATGTGAAATTAATCGCATGATCAAATGGAAGAAACCATAAAATGAAATTTTCTTAGCTTTGATTCATAAACTATCTATTTGTATAGTTTGAGTGAAATCAGCACATGCAAACAGAAATACAAAGATTTCTCTATCATCACGATAAATATAAAGATATCTTAACATGAACAGAGATGCGCAAAAAAAATAAAAAGAAGTAATTAAAAATGTAGTTCTTTTTCGTTTTTTTTTGGTAACATAATCTTCACAACTTTCAATTGGTCAAAAATATCAGCAGCAGATCTCTTCACAGCCGATTAATGACAAGATGGGGATGTTGATATTAGTTATGCCTGTATTAAATATTTTTATTGTAAATTTATATAACTAACAAATATTAACACATTCATCCTATTTCTATTAGATAGGAGATATTTTTGTTTTTAGAGAGTAAATTTTTCGAATGTATAATATTCACTTTTATATAAACTGAAAATACATACAATAGTAATGGATCTATGATAACCTTTCAAATTTTATTAAGCCAGACATATGTTCCTAAGTCTCTCTCATCTTTTATATTTTAATAACAAAACATCACTCTGTCGATTCTACATTGTGTTTGTTGAGATAACGCACCATTTTATCGAGAATCATAAACATGGTCGCATATCGTTGTATTTTAAATCGATAAAAATGTTGGTTGACTACGCTTTTCTTATATAATTCTTTTTTGCCTGGGAAAAAGAAAAATTTAATTGCCTTTGTCAAATTCTTAGAAAATGAATTTTCATGTTTATTAAGGGATAATCAATTAATTAGATATCCCATTATTCAGTCTTATATATTTCATGTAGTAGAATATTCATTTACAAGAACATATTGTTTTAACGTTCGTCATTAAAGCAGGAATTCATCTGAATAATTGCAATGAAAGTCTCTTGCAAATAGTTTCTTCTTCAATTTAACATCTCTTTATTAATTTGTAGTCCTCTTCTACTTTGTCTCAAAAGAAAATTGTCATTCAATTGAGATAAACATTACTATCAATCCTAGACTTATTATTCTATTAATATTTAAGATATCAGTTAACTGCGAATAACAACCAGATGAATGCTGATTATTATTTATTAATATATACGATACGTATAATAAAAACAAGATCAGTTTAATGCTTTTGTTAACTGTGTTAGAATTTTCAGATGATTGATAAAGACTAGACTAAACAAATATCTTTCTTCTAAATACTTTGATAAACTATTGTCTTGTGCTATTGAAACTCAAATGACATCAGTCGAACGAATACTTGAATATTGTTCACTTGATCAAGAATCATCTAATCAATTATCATTCAAATATCGACCACCAATAAATTGGCCATCACAAGGTCGTATTATTTTTGAAAATGTTTCCATGTCACATTCAAAAGAATTACATTCACCATTGGCTCTTCATAATATTTCATTAATAATTGAACCTGGTGAAAAAATTGGCATTGTTGGAAGAACAGGTGCTGGTAAAAGTTCATTTATTCAAACACTTTTTCGAATGGGTACACTTGTTAATGGTCATATTATTATTGATAATATTGATATAACAACTATTGGATTAGATGATATTCGACGTCATATTTCAATTATTCCACAAGATCCTATTCTTTTTACTGGTACAATGAGAAATAATCTTGATCCATTTGGTCTTTATTCAGATGTAGAAATATGGAATGCACTTGAACAAGTCTGAATCTTTTGTTTTTATGTCACTAATTGAATAAATTTGTTTTTTGTTAATATAGGTACAATTAAAGAAATTAGTAATAGATATGATGTCCAATGGTCTTCATTCATTAGTAAGTGAAAATGGATCTAATTTAAGTATTGGTCAAAAACAACTGGTATGTTTAGCACGAGCTATATTAAAAAAGAATAAAATTCTTGTAATTGATGAAGCAACTGCTAATGTAGATAATGTGTGAGTAACAAAAACGAGATATTTGAAGAAGAAGAAAAAAAAACGTAGAACAAAAATGAAAAATATTGTTTAGAACAGATGAATTAATTCAAAAAGCCATACGTGATAAATTCAAAGAATGTACAGTATTAACAATTGCACATCGTTTACGTACAGTTATTGATAGTGATCGTATCATGGTAGAGAATTTTTTGAAATATAAACATTTATTTATTTTTTTTCTTATTATAGGTACTTAGTAATGGAAAATTAGTCGAATTTGATTCACCTCAAGTATTACTTTCAAATAATTACTCTCAGTTTACTTTACTAGTAGAACAGACAGGAGAAACTGAAGCTGAATATCTTCGAACATTAGCAAATTCATATACAAGACGAAAACTAGCAATATATAACTTAGATGATGAACCAACATTAGAAACTAATGAAATGGATCCTCTTGTTCCTTCATCGTTGTAATTTAATACAATGACAAAAAAAAACAAACAACGTTTTATGTCTAAAAGACTTCATATTCATAATCTAAAAAAAATTGATGATCATCAGACTATTTCAAAAGTTTGAACGAAAGAAAACTTGTCATTCTCATCATATTGCTATAAACTAAGTTTCTCATGAATCTTTTCTATTCCAGTTTTTTCTTCGAAAATATTTTGTTATGACAAAAACAAAATTTCTTAATTTTCTAGAACTTTTAACTCGTTCAGCAAAAAAAATTGAGGATGTAAGTGTGGTTGAACAAGACATCCACACCCTCTTGACGCCGATATTTTGAGTAAAACCGTGGAAAAGCAGCAGAAATCAGTTTGTTCAAAAGTAGACAAGAAGGGCTATGTAACCATGTCATTTATTTGTTCTTGTTCATAAATGACATATGATCAATCATTTATGTCTATTTAACTTATGACTATGATTGAGAATAAAAAGTTTCAATAGATAAGATCTTATGTATATTACGCTCGACTGATTTTTCTTTTGTTCTATTGAGAACTAATTAGCATGATTGATGAGAAAAGCTTAATCGACAATGAAAAGTTGATCGATCGTTTGTATTTTTTCCTACATATTTGGATATGTTCGACCAGTGGTCAAAGAGATTTTCTGAATGTGAGTATGGGTATGGGTTTCGGTTATCTGTTTACTCACACTCCAGAGATGTCCGTCGTGGCTGAGAATCTGCCGCTGTCGCAGCGACATTTTTAACAAAAGGTTACAACACTGCTACTATCACTACATGAAGGAAAAATGGTATTTGTCAATCTACAGTAGTCACACAGTCTAGGTTTCAATCAAAATCAATGAGGAATAACGATTTAACTGCTATAGTAACAAATGACTTCTGAGCACATATAGAATAAGTATAATTCCTAAGACCACATTGACTTTTTAAGTTCTTCATGAAATAACGAAAGAGTCTAAAGAAAATGGCAACTTTTTATTTTTTCACGTAATAACTTCAATTCAAAGAGAAATGAAAATTCATGTGACTTTGAAGATGATTAGAGGGTTTAAGATGTATAATTAAAAACGAAAAATAATATAGAGATGAATGTTTAACTTTCTTAGACTATCACATTCTATCGTATACAAAAAGCATTAAATTGACTTGTTCTGCTTTCCTTTCAAGAAAGATAGAAAGAAACTTCTCGTTTACAAAAGGAAGACTAGGTTATCATGAAAACTCATGAAGATTGACAACAAAAAAAGAAATCATTTTGAAAATAACCATCAAGAATGTCTTTGAACCTAATGAGTTTCATATAGATCGATGTTCCCCAAATTGCTCTTTCGAATGATGATAATTCGAGCTCCATAGTTTGTTATTTAATTCGTATGCATTCCGAAGCATAGATGAAATCTATGTCTTCAACCATGAATAATAATAATTAATATATGATTTTTGATTGTGTTGGTAGCAGATTTCATTTTATATATTAGAAAAGAATTACAGCACATTTTAGAGTAGGAATGGTTCTCTTTATTGAGATATCCCGTAAACTAGACCAGAGATGTAGTGGCATAGTCAAGATTTTATTCATGTCGAGGCTCAATCTTTAGCCCTTCATTAGCTACATTACTACAGAAATAATGTCAAAAGTCTGATTGAATCTGTTCTTCAGGTTGACATTTTTCCAAAGACTTTTGCATATAGTATTATACAGATAGCATTAGAAGTTTAGTTCTGTATCACATAATCACTGCAAATGTTAACAAGAATAAATTTTCGGATCAATGATATAAAAACCATCCATATATTCGAATGTATAAATCATCTATAACAATTCGATGATTATGTATGAGAATTATCGAATAATTATTTTCATATTTCTCAGTATATATTTCGACGTTATCTATATGACTAATATCGCGTATTTAGTTTCTAAAACAAATAATGTCAAGTGTGTAGCTCTAATATAGGTTAATAAGATGTCCCTCTTTCACCTACTTGTGTATAGAATGTCGTACAGAATGACGTAAATTCTTGATGTCTTGTGACACAATTATAGTGTTGACAAATAATAGGTTGTATGCATGTTCTTTTTTTCTTTTCTATATCTTGGTTATAATAGAATGTATAAACTTGCAGTTCTTTTTAAATAGAAAATGTAATTGTTGATGACTAAGTTAAAAATAAAATAACCCTGTAAAAGTGCGAAGGAGAAAACAATGATAACATAATAATGTTTGAAAAAAAAATGAACTCGATCGTTCTGTTAAACTTCATATATATTTATTGCGTAGTTTGATTTGTCATTATAATGATATCTACAAAAATGTATTTACTATATCATTGAAGGAGATTATTACATTTTTATAGTTCAACTTATAATAAAACATTGTTTATACATTTGAGACAAGAGAATCAATATCAAATATAATTTTATTAAAAAAACCTTAAATAATTTTTAATAAAATATATTATATACACATTTCAATAATGACACTTTTGTTATATAATTATGTAGTTTTTCGTTTTAATGAAGAACATGTGACCATATATTTGTGACCGTTTGACTATATCATAAATGCATGATCTCTGTTGATAATTCGTAGCCGGTTATCAGTGACAAACAAAATGTCTGGTGAAATGTTTTCTCTTGTTATCAAATTTTTGCTGATTAAAAGGCAACCGTGTTGTTTTTTTCTCTCATTCAATTGACACACCAAAACATTACTAAGAATGAAAAAAACCTCGATTATTAGTTTGTCATTATTCACAATATTGTTAAGCAATGTAGCCAGTTTTAATTTAACGAAATATCATTCGGCTGTGGAAAAGTTGGCTCTTGATGAATATTTCCTAAAAGAGTTTACCAAATGGTCACTTGAACTAATGTCTGAACGGAATTATTTCTATGGTAAACCTCTGGAACCTTTTAATTGTTCAACAAAGGGTATGCGAAGTCCGACAATTCCCAAATCAGTTCATGAACTACGACCGGGTGATATTCAATGTGTTGCAGCCATGGGCGACAGCTTGACAGCAGGCTTGGGTGCTAAAGCTAAAACTCCAATCGGTCTTGTGACAGAGTATCGAGGTGAGTTGGTTTGTTTTTTTTTGCTCATCTCATGTGAAGATTTCGATTGTGTCGTTGCTTTTAGGTGTTGCTTGGTCTGTAGGTGGTGATGATACCTTTGAGAAAACAGTGACATTACCCAATATTCTTCGTCTTTATAATCCACAATTGAAAGGTTTTTCAACCAAAACTTCAATAGCAGTTCTCAATGGTCAAAATGCAAAAAACAATAGACTTAATATCGGTTAGTATTATTTTTGTTTTTCGTCATTGTTATTATTTCTATTGATTAAAATTATTTTTTGTTTCAGGAAAAACGGGTTCTGATTCATATAATATGGACGAGCAAGCTGATATTCTCTTATATCGCATAAAGAATGAAGGACTCTGCGATTGGAGTAATGATTGGAAGCTAATTACAGTTTTTATTGGAGTATGTTTTCTATTTTCATATGCCATATTTCGACCATCGATATATTTAGGCAAATGATTTGTGCGATTTCTGTGATGAATCAATGGAATATGATCCACCACACTATGTCGAACGGGTTCGTGGTGCACTTGATAAATTGTACTATGCTAATCTATCTCGTACATTGATAAATCTTGTACCCGTACTCAATGTTAGCTTTTCAAAAGAACTTAAAGATGGCAATATTGTCTGTGGACTTCTTCAAAAATCTTCATGCCCATGTGCAGCATATCCTACGCAAGAACAAGAGAACATATTAAAGGACTGGATTCCTGGATATCAAACAGGTCTTGATGACCTAGTTAAGACACGTCGTTATGATGGTCGTGATGATTTCACTGTTGTTGTTCAACCATTCTTCACTCACACTCAACCACCTCAAGAAAAAAAAGGAGGAATTGATTTTAGTTATTTTGCTCCTGATTGTTTCCATTTGAGCGGTAAATTTCATTTTTGCATGTTACATCATGCATGATTTTGTTTCATTTTAGCCAAGGGTCATGCAGTTGCAGCATTATCACTTTGGAATAATATGTTCGAAGCAGTTGGTACGAAAAAAACTTCATGGCATGAAGGTGAACCATTTGAATGTCCTACGGAAGACCATCCTTATATCTATACATGGAAAAATTCGATTTCAAAATAGAAACGTCGTCAACGTTCAACATCACTATTAGTCTAAATTTTTGTTTCTTATTTTTGAAATTTTTTCTTAATTTTAAGAGTGAATCAAACAAATGATTATTTAATAAAGAACCGTATTAATTCGAAAATTTAAAAAGAGAGGAAAAAGTGATGATGCGAGGATGTGCATGTGGGGTGTGGATATGGTTGTGGGTGGAGTGTGAGTGGGGTATGAGTATGGGTGTGAGGTGTAGGTGTTAGGTGTGAGTGTGGGGTGTGGGATGTGGGTGTGAGTGCTGGGATCTTTTCTTGCACACGCGCACCACATCCATACCCACACCCTTTTGTTGATTTCTTCTACCATTTTATCAACAAAATTGTCTTTTCGACGAACGTCATGCACATGTATATTTGATATATTATGAAAATAAAAACACTCACTTCGTTTTTTTCCCTAGTATTGACAGTCGAGGAAAGAAAAGAATTCCCATAAGTAAACCATAGTGCAGTATCATTAAATTGTATGCATACCAGAGACCGAAAACGAGTCGAGTACTCGATAAATCGACTCGACTCGACTCGGTTCACGCCGAGTCGAGTCGAGCCCGAGTGCGAAGTTTGAGAAATGTGTCGAGTCGAGTCGAGTCCAGTCAGATCTACTGTCGAGTCGAGTCGAGTCGAATTTGACCACAACGATTCGACTTTTTAAAAATTTCTTCATAATTCTATCATTTGTTTCTCAGTATTAGTCATTGTCATCGTTAGACGAACCGAGATGAGACAATGTCAATTCATTTCAATGAATAGGTTGAACAAAGCATTAAAATGAATAGACAGCGATGAACTGACGACGCTAAATAAACTACAATGAATGATATACACTAGCTTTCATTGTATTCAATGCATTATTGACTGTTCAAAGATTAATTAGAATGCAATGACTTGCTTGATCGTCAGCCTATGTAAGTGATCGACATGCGACGTGCAACAGATTTAGTAGTGTATTGCATTATTTCATTATCTATCGCAAAAAGATGATCAAAACAGAATGGATGTTTATATGATCATATTTAGAATATTGAAATCGATGAAATATGTTAACCATTCCATCCAATAGGACCGTTTCGAATAGTCTTGGAACATTTATGGGGAGAAGAAATCGGCCTGCAGTATTGCCGAAATCGCGGAAGAAAATGATTCAGAATTATTCGAGACGATAATTCCAAGCTCTGAAACCGAGTAGAAAACTTGTAGAAAATTTCTGTTTCTGACAGAGAACCTCCGAAAATCGATAGAAAATCGAAGCAGTACATCAAGTGGAGAGAGCGAAGGACTTTTTCGATGACTTCCGATCATCTTTGAGCAACAAAGACAGGATTTTAATGGAAAGACACAGAAAAAAAATCTGAGATCTCCAAGTCTCAAATACTGCTTTCAAGAAATTGTCGCAATTTCCTGAAGCTGACGGTTTCCTTTTCGTGTGGTCCGACATGGATGTTTCAACACTATGATACAAGTGAAATGTGTGTCTAAATTTCTTCTCATTCTTGATATTAAGAATGTACTTCTAAACATTCGATTTTGAATCGATACTCGGCGGCTCGAGTCGAGCCGAGTCGAGCCGAGTCAGATGTTTTTTAGATGCATGTCGAGTCGATTGAATGGTTCAGTCGAGTCGAGTCGAGTCGAGTTGAATTTTTTTGACTCGTTTCGGTCTCTGATGCATACATCCGTGTGCTAATAGGAAAGAGAAAGAACGAAAACAACGCATATTATGTATATTGCATCGTAGGCATCTGTGTTGTTTTATGCACATTAGTTGATAAAAAATGCTTGGGGGATGAAATGTGATCATAAATAAATGAAAAATCAAGTAAACGAAAAAAATATTTCGTGATAAAACAAGTTTTTCAAAAACAACCTATTCAGTATAAAATAAGTGAAATATTTCACTAGTTAACGACAGACAAGAAAATATAACGACGAAAATCAATTTTTTATTCATTCAATAATATAATTTTTCCTACCATTTCACATCGACGACAGACACAATCAAAATCATATCGTCTATTTAACACTCATTATGGACAAACAAAAATCAGCTATATATAGTAGTGCGATCAATAAAGAATAAAACAAAGAAACATCCAGTTCTTCGAAAGATGCGATAGAATGTCGATGCAACGTTATGCCTATAGTTCAAAATATCTCTCTCATCTGGCTGGACAAGAATATCGATGAACAAAACAACGCAGCTTGTCACAATACAATCACCCAACTACGTCGTGTTGTGAACAGCATCAAGACTTTCAGCAAAGTGGACCACGCTATCGATTTCCTCACTGACATATACAATGAAAAAGTCTTTATGATCATCTCTGGAGCACTGTGTCAACATCTTGTACCTCTAATCCATGAGGTCAGTGTGCTTGATTCCATTTTTATCCTCTGTGATAACAAAAAACATTATGAACAATGGGCAAAAGAATGGTCAAAGATTAAGGGCGTTTTCACGGAGATCACATCGATCTATCGAATCCTCAAAGTAGTTCGACAATGTGAACACAATGGCATGGCCATTAGTTTCCTTGCCATGAATCGTGATGGTGTTTCCAAGAAAAAATTGGATGAATTGGACTGTTCCTTTATGTACACACAAATTCTTAAAGAAATATTACTTACAATTCACTTTGAACAACAACATATCCAAGAATTCACAGATTATTGTCATAAATTGTATATCGAAAATGATCATGAGTTGGCTAGTATTCGAAAATTGGAACAAGAATATCATAGTGAAACACCTATTTGGTGGTATAGTTCTCCATCCTTCTTATATTCCATGCTCAATCATGCCTTACGAGTGATGGATGTGGAAATCATTGTTAAGATGGGTTTCTTCATCCATGATCTTCACCAACACATTGAACAATTACATATAGAACAATTTGATGGTCATCAAACCAGACAAATATTCACCATTTATCGTGGTCAAGGTTTGTCCAAGACAGATTTTGATCAAATAGTAAAAACAAAAGGTGGACTAATGCGCTTTAATAATTTTTTATCTACTAGTAAAGATCGACATGTTTCTCTTATGTTCGCTGAAAGTAACCAAAGCAATCCCGATTTGGTAGGGATTCTGTTCGTTATGAGAATAGATCCTGCTACATCATCAAGTCCTTTCGCTTCCATTAACAACGTCAGTTACTTTCAAGACCAAGAAGATGAAGTTCTTTTCTCTATGCACACGGTATTTCGCATCCATGAAATCAAACAAACGGATGAAAATAATCGTCTCTGGCAAGTAGACTTAACATTGACCAGTGACAACGACCAAGAACTTCGGACACTCACTGAACGTATGCATGAAGAGACTTATCCAAACTCAAAAGAATGGTATCGATTAGGTATGGTGCTACTAAAAATGGGTCTATCGGAAAAGGCTCAACAAATCTACGAAGGGTGTGGGTGTGTGGGTGTGGGTGTGGGTGTGGGGTGTGGGTGTGGGTGTGGGTGTGGGTGTGGATGTGT